ATACATTACAAATGGCTTCCTGTGCATTAAAATGGTGTGACAAGTCAGCTAAGACATCCAGTTATCAAAAAGATGGCATAAATTTTAATTGGTAAGTAAATTCTATTCTTATCACGTTAACCTATTTCAAATGCACCGGAGATCAACTTATACTGGTATATTAATGGTGCAAAGTGATAACAATTAAGCACCCGTTGATGTCTTTTTGAAATGTCCCTTTCACTCGTTACGTAAATTACAATAGTTGTCTTTGTCTAACAACAGCACGTGTATCGATAGTGTTGTGATTTTTAAGTCGATATTTGTTTGGTCATCGTTTAATAATTTTTATCGAAGTATTATTTTATAAAAATAGTGACGTATCATTGTGGTACCTATATGTTATAGGTTTCCTAAATGCCCCGAAAGGAAAAAAGATGTGGATCGACGCAAATTGTCGAGGGGACGTCAAGCTATTTTGAACGGATTTATAAATCATAAAACTTGTAAAAGTTATAATGTGATTATTGTTTTGACTTGGTATTTAGTGTTACATGAACTTCAGTATTATCTTATTATAATTATTAAGTACATCTAAATTTGGAAGACGTGCCGTATGGTGTATTAATTAATAATACTATATCGGTAATGTTTTAAAAGAAACGTATATGTATTTCTGATTTAGATTACTGGTTCACCGCTGAAAGACGCGAAAAACCCGCCAACACCTAAAAATCAGAGTCATTGCTTAGAAACGCCTACAAAACAAAAAAGAATTTTTTTTCCTATACCTGATACGCCATCTGCATTTAATACTCCAGTTAAAAACGTCTTTGTAGAAGAATCATCGAATTAACCAACGTAATGAACAAAAAAGATAAAAAAAGTTAAAAAGTTAAGTGATTCCAACAGAAGACTAAAAACACAAATAGTTTCTTTGAAGTCACTATTGGTAAAATTAGAAAACAAAAATTAATAGCAGCGGAAAACAATGACGCATTAAATTCCTTAGAAAAATCAAAATCTAGAAAATACAGGCAAAATTGTTAGAAAAAAATATTCACCACAATTGAGAGCTTTTGCACTCACCATAAATTACTCAGCTAGGCTTATAATTATGTACGCAAAACATTTAATACTTCTTTACCTTTTGTAAAAACACTAGGAAAGTTTGTTGTTTTAACACAATCAATTAAGCTTAATTATAAATAATAATAATAATAAAATAATATATATATATAAATGAAGTGGACGATATGAATGACAAGCTCGTGGAAACTGTCCATGCGGTTGGAGCTAAGTTCTGCAAGACCCGCCGCAGAAGAACACAAAAACTCTCCGATCACACTCTTAATCTCATGGCTGTTAGACGGGAGATGAAGCTACATTCTTCAACAGACTTGACAGCATACAGGCATCTGAACAGACAGATCTCCAAATGCATGCGGCGGGACTTACGCAACTTCAATACAGCTCGTATTGAAGAAGCGATCGAGCGGAACCAAGGCTCCAAAGTCTTTGCCAGAGATCTGTCTGCCAGAAAGAGCCAACTGTCAAAGCTGAAGACAGAATGTGGCAGCATCGTTTCCGGGACACCTGAGATTTTGAGTGAGATTGAGAGGTTCTATGGGCAGCTGTACACATCATCGTTGGAGCCACACGCAAGTGTGAGTAACGATCCAAGAGCGAGTCTTGTCCGACATTATTCCGAAGATATCCCGGATGTCAGTCTGAGCGAGATTAGGATGGCTCTCCAGCACCTTAAAAACGGTAAGGCCCCAGGCGAGGATGGAATTACAGCGGAGCTTCTGAAAGCGGGTGGAAGACCGGTACTTGAAGTCCTTCAGAAGCTCTTTAATTCCGTCCTCCATGGTGGCATTACACCGGAGGCGTGGAGCAGAAGTGCGGTGGTCTTGTTCTTCAAGAAAGGTGACAACGCTCTCTTGAAGAACTACAGACCGATTTCCCTTCTGAGCCGCGTCTACGTGCTGTTTTCGAGAGTCATTACGAATCGTCTCGCGCGCAGACTTGACGACTTCCAGCCTCCCGAACAAGCCGGTTTCCGAAAGGGCTTTAGCACCATAGACCACATACATACCCTTCGGCAAGTTGTACAGAAGTCCGAAGAGTACAATTTGCCACTATGTCTGGCGTATGTGGACTATGAGAAAGCCTTTGATTCCGTCGAAATTTGGGCGGTGCTGCAGTCCCTTCAGCGGTGCCAAGTTGACTGTCGGTATATCGAAGTGTTGAAGTGCTTGTACAGTAGGGCTACGATGGCTATCCGAGTACAGAACCAGAGTACGAAACCTATCCAATTGCAGAGAGGTGTAAGACAGGGTGACGTCATATCCCCGAAACTCTTCGCCGCTGCATTGGAAGACGTTTTCAAGCTTCTGGACTGGAAAGGATACGGTATCAACATCAATGGCGAGTACATCACTCACCTTCGATTTGCCGACGATATAGTCCTTATGGCAGAATCGCTGGAGGACCTAAGCACTATGCTCAATGACCTCAATAGTGTTTCCCAACGGATAGGTCTTAAGATGAACATGGACAAAACTAAGATCATGTTTAATGTCCATGTCACACCTATGCCGGTAGTTGTTGGGAACACTAAGCTTGAAGTTGTTGACGAGTATGTTTACCTGGGACAAATAGTCCGACTGGGTAAGTCCAACTTCGACCGAGAGGTCAATCGACGGATTCAACTCGGCTGGGCAGCGTTCGGGAAGCTACGACACATCTTCTCGTCAGACATACCTCAAAACCTTAAAACGAAATTGTACAACCAGTGCGTGTTGCCAGTGATGACTTACGGAACTGAGACGTGGTCCTTCACTGCTGGCCGTATGAGGAAGCTCAAGGTCGCTCAACGAGCTATGGAGAGGGCTATGCTCGGAGTTTCTCTGCGTGATAAACTTAGGAATGAGGATATCCGCAGTAGAACCAGAGTGACCGACATAGCCCAACGGATTAGTAAGCTGAAGTGGCAGTGGGCCGGCCATATAGCTCGAAGAACCGACAACCGATGGGGAAGAAAGGTTCTCGAGTGGCAGCCTCGTACCGGTAGGCGAAGTGTAGGGCGTCCCCCCACGAGATGGAGTGACGACCTGGTAAGACATGCAGGAAGTCGATGGATGCAGGTGGCTCAGGACCGTGTTTTGTGGCATTCTTTGGGGGAGGCCTATGTTCAGCAGTGGACTTGTGAAGGGCTGTAATGATGATGAATGATGATATATATATAATAATAAAAATAATAAATATTAATAAATAAGCATAAATAAACAAATAAATAAGCAGTTTTGTTAATGAGGATATTTTTCATGAAATAAATAAATCAGCAATTCGATCACGAAAGTTGTAATCATGTCATTGATTTAGCTAAGAGTGTTATGGAAAAATACATAGACATACTACTCATCCAGGAAGACAGATCCTAAGAATTCTGTGAGACAATTTTATACTAAGATTATCCATTTTAAAAATCAGTCAAATATATATTTATAAATTAAATGTACAGATTTATGTATACAATGATTAAATTTTTAATAAACATCAAATAAAAATTGATCAATATATTTATCTATCATTATCAATAATCAATAAATCCCAAATTTATCGATCAACGTCCCAACCCTGTTCCATCACTATGGTTTGGTACATTCTAAGTTTGACCTTTAAATATCCAATCACAGCGCATTTGCCACGTCCCCCGCAACCCTTGCATAGTGCCAAATTTGGTGAACTCGAAACAGAACAAATATTCAATGATGCGGTATCTATTAGGGGGTAATCTGTGGCAGTGCCGTTTATGATCCATCCACAATGCAAGTTTGGTCAAAGTTTTCTTCTGGACCCTAAATGCAGTGTTATCACTGCAGAGGTATATGCGGCCCTCGAGGCCCTGAAGAGGATTGCACATATAAATAGTTTTAATAATTTTTTAATTTTAACAGACAGTTTAAGTATGGTCCAAAGTTTAACTAATCTCAGATTTGACTATAAAAAAACTATATTTTGTATAATATTAAAAAATTGTTATTTAGTTATGCAAAAAAGGGTATGCAGGTCTCTTTCATGTGGATTCCATCACATAGGGGCATAACAGGAAATGAGATAGTAGATAAAATTGCACGTGATGGAATCAACATGTTGGATGTTAGCTCCATAGTAAAAGTACCTTTGACCGACTGTTATCAATCTATTGACAACCAAGTCAATAGCTTATGGGTCGAATTTTGGAAACAAGATCAAGAACAGAAGGGTAAATGGTATGGAACTGTTCAAGAAAAACTACCTGTAGCACCATGGTATAACAAACTGAAAATGGCCAGTCGGGACTTTGTTACCACTATAAATAGACTGCGCTTTGGTCACTCCACCGTCCCGGCCCACCTGGCTCGATTGGGCATAGTGGAGAGCAGTTACTGCACCTTCTGCAATAATTCTGTTGGTGATATCGAACATTTCATATTTACATGTGAGTGCTTTTCATTTGACAGATTGATTCTTGTCAGTGAAATTAGTGACATAGTGCAAAATCAAGTGACAGTGCAAGATCCCTCCCGCCGCCTGAGTGATATGTTAAAAAATAGATCCTATTACGTGCCTCTATATAAATTCATCAAAAATACAGTGGGGAAATTATAATAAACCGAATAAAAATACTCAAGACTTGGCCTAAAGGTCTAGATGCCAGGCCATAAACTCCAAAAAAAAAATATTGGATTGACAAATTTATACATGGATTGTACATGGATTGAAACTTACAGAGTATATAAAGAAGACTTGGCTTTAGCCTTTACGGGTTTTTGAAAATATGAAGAATTGAAGAAAATAAGACTTCACAACGGCCTTTATGGATTTTGAAGAGATGGAAAGAAGAAAAATAAGACTTGGTTCCGGCCCTTACACTCTAAAATTCTATATATTCAAAATAAAAAAGACAAGGTTGTATGGCTTAGTTCCTTTGCTTGCTCTCTAGAGCGAATAATAAAAACAACAACAAATCAAATGTAACACGCGTGAATGTTTTTTTTTTCTACTTTCTAGTTATTTATTGAATGTGACTTATTCAAAGCTTTTAGTTTTAGATTATAATTTAAAATATCTTTGGACTTATTTTATTGGCCCCCATAGATTATGGCTTTGATGCGTCCCGGGTCAAATTAATGAAATGAGTAATTCATAATTTGGTTATGGCGATAGAGATTACAGATTATTTATTATGTAATTAGTATATAGTAATAAAACTTAGTGAATAATCTTTTGGATAAAGTTTATAGCATAGTGAGCTAGTGAATAAATAGGAAATACTCTTAGGATCAGTACTATGCACGTTACTCGTTCGGAAGTGCTTGTATTGTACAAGAAATTAATGCTATATTCAAGGTCGCTTTCTTTGACCGATAATAACTATTTCAGAAATAGAATTGCCTCTGAATTTCGACGTAACAAAACGCTATGTAAACCTGAGGATATTACTTTTGCATTTAAGGTATAGTTGTTTAGTCACTCTTGGCAAGTAGCACTTATTGAAGTCAAATATTTTAACGCCCAATGTGTTGTCGATGCGTGGAAGTTATATGGTTCTAGATAGATAGAGCTTACCATAATTTAATACAAGAATAGGTCAGCTCGATGGGGGAAGGACAACGCTCTCATAGCAGCATAATTCTACCGTTTCGTGTGTTAAACGTTTTACTATTGGTGAGTTGCCGTGCAAGAAATGTATTGAAGAAAAATGAGTGATATACATCTTCGAGATCACCAAATATACTTATATGTATATAAATAATATCCTATCCTTATCTTTAATTCCCAAGCGCAGTTGATAATCGATGACAAGAAATGAAAACTGAGTTCATCATCACCAGTTTAAAGGGTCTCTGGTTCTATTTCTTCACCATACCAACAAACATAGCAGTATTATATTGCTTAATGATTTCTTATATTTATGTGAACACCACACATTGAATGAAACTACTTTTACCGGATTTTATCGTGTTTAATTAACTTATTTTATATTCCTGACGTTTTGGTTGCTTTCCAGCAACCATGTCCATGGTTAATTAAACACGATAAAGTCCGTAAAAGTAGTTTCATTTAATATTATATTGTTACTTATAATTTTATGTAGGTATTCTGTGCGAGCATTCTAGTCATTCTGTTCTGTCTGTTCTGACTTTGTGTGAATCTACCACATATAGTTTCCATACATTTCATTTCTTCTATGTGTTTGTGATAACAATCCAATAAATAGGGGTTCCTATTGTTTTAACTAAAATTAATTTTTTTTAATAATGTAATGTTTTCTTATATTTACATGAATACTACACATGAAATAAAACTAATTGTATGTACATTATTTACGGAAGCCAGTCTCAACAGAGTTTAACCTATTGTTCAGGACAGGATTATAGTGCATGAGGTGCCCACTCTTCCCCCACTCACACGGGTTTATGTCCTTTCTAAGAGATGGGGGTGAAACACCACCAACTTCATGATTCCAGGCTGCTACTGAGAATTTCTTGAGAGAAAAACCCAAAGTCATTTTTGCCCTGACCGAGGATTCTAACCCAGGATCATATGGTGAGAAGACACATCCACTAGACCAACAAGGCAGTCTTGGGTATCTACAATCACCTTGAAAATATTTTGAACTTATTAAGTTGGTTTCAAACATAAAAATCAAATACTAATAATTAACAACAACATATTGAAAAGGATTCAAAACTTAAATTAATTGTTAAATCTTAACAAAATTTATTTATTTCTTTATAAATGATAAATGATTTTCTTATATGCTCCCTCAAACGTAAAACAATGTGTTGCATATTAAATAAAATTAATTATAAAATCTGTAAAATTAGTTTCATTTAATGTGTAGTATTTGCATAAATATAAGAAATCATAATGTGTTGCATGTAACGTAATCTTCCTTCTTCTGTATATATTAAAATCAATAACTGTCTTAGTCTCGTTAAAACTTGAAACTGGCTCGATCACTTCTGATGAAATTTTATGTGTGTATTTGAGTGGGTCCCTGGCCCGGTAAGTGGAGCTGTTGTTAAGATCCAGCATCATCTGTGTAAAGCCAGGGCGGATCACTAGTTCAAAATAAATGTTCTTAATTTTATTTTTTTTGTTACATAAAATAATATAGTGTGTAGTGTATATGTAATTTATTTTTATTTTCAGAAGGGTGAAGCATTGCTCCAGAGAGGATCTGTAGTGTAGTAACATGTTTACTTTGAGACGTGTTGCTAACCTCTACAAACTTTGCACTGTTGATATACTATTTAAGTCTGCAAAGTTAAAGCATACAATTGATTATTCCCGGTTGCCCAAAATAAATGAATCAGATTTGACAGAGCAATTTGTCAGAGGAGGAGGTCCAGGAGGCTCTGCTGTAAATAAAAATGCTAATTGTGTTGTTCTAACACATAATCCAACAGGTACTATAAAAACTGAAAAAAAATATACATATTCTTGTAGTCATGATCATTATAGCTGTTCACAAGTACACTGCTGAACATAGGCCATAAAACACAGTCCTGAGCTACCTGCATCCATCAACTTCCTTAAAGTCTTACCAGGCTGTCACTTCGCTAACAAGGAGCCGTCCTACACTTTTCTTACTAGCTCAGGGCTACCACTCGAGAAACTTTCTTCAAGCCCATTGTCATTTCAGTTTACTGATCTGTTGAACTGTGTCAGTTAATCTGATTCTATTGTGGATATCCTCATCCTCATTTGGAATTCTATCACGCAGAGAAACTGAGCATAACTCTCCATAGCTTGCTGAGCAACCATGAGCTTCCTCATAAGGCCAGCAGTGAAGGACCATGTCTCAGATGTCTCATTAGTGATCATCAGTGATGAGATTTTCTTTAAGAACACTGTAGCCTACTTATTGTATATTATACGTACATATATATATACAAAAGATATATTCAATAAAAGATTATTTACATTCACCATGATGTGCATTGGAAACTCGCTAAACAATGATAACATTAGAATGAAGTTCCATGCGCGGGCGCATTCAACGCCTCCCACCGCATTTGCCAGTCTGCTTACCGACATCACACGCGAAGCCCATGTCGCCTGGCTAACCGTAGTGTCCCGTTATTATCTCGCGAATACTAGGTTTTATAGTTTGTTTAAATACAATCGCTTTCTACTCCATCAATTTCATATAGCTTTTAACTTGTATATGGCGTCATGTGAAACTATATATATTTTGTGTCTGTCTATAGTGAATAAATGTTAACTGTACTGTGTATGTTTAGACTTAATTGTTTTTTACCAGACTGTGACCCACACACATTCTACCACACACACCATTACACTATGCTTTCACCGTCTGGTTTCCAGACACAATAGTAAGATAATAGCAATGACCTATATGTAGTGCATGGGACAGTGAAAGGGTTAACCAGTTCTCGATGTAGTGTAAAGAGGTCTGCTGTGTTAAGTGGGAAATATTAGATCAGAGTAACTTAGTATTGACTAGTCTCTGTCTTTATAGATTTCATTCTATAAATTCAAATTATGGGCCGTTTTTTGAGTTTCATATCAATTTAATGTTAACAGTGAAAGGAAAGCTGGTATTGACTTTATTATTACTAACATAGTATGGATGTGGATAAAAAAAAATTAAAGATATTATTTTAAGTGATTGTTGGTTTACTAATATGGGCTATTGCAAATAAATTCTAACAATGGAGATGCTTGTCAATAAAAATCATTATGTCGGCACTACTGTACATGTGCATGTCCAAGTAGTACTAGTGATGCTGCAAAATCCATATATTGCAGCATCGCTAATGTCATCATAGTATCGAAGCTCCTAGGACTCCGCTAAAGCCGGTTGCATGTACCCGTGACGGAATCCCTTAACACAGTGAAAGTCGTTTTAACTTCAATACTAATGTTCAGCATTCTAAATGTGCAAAAGAAGCATCCAAATAGAGCTTTCATGTAAATGTTTCAATTGTTTTTGATATAATACTCAAATTTGCTATGCTAATTGTTTTGAAGTATTATCACAGACAGATGTCTCTTATCTCTGACTTCACTCCACATTGCCAGTTTAGTTATTTTTTACGTCATATTATAATATGAGACGGTTATTTTGCTGGCTGATGTACCAAAGAAAAAATATTTTTAATTCCATCAACTGCTTTTATTTTAGGTACAGTTATTAAATGTCACATAAGTAGATGTCAAGATGAGAACAGAAAGTTAGCTAGGGAAATGTTGGTTGCTAAATTAGATGAAGTTTTAAATGGCGAAGCTAGTGTAACTGCTCAAAAGAAGCGACAAAAAGAAGACAAAATAAAAAAACTTGAATACAAGAAAAAGAAAATGGCAAAATTGAAAGAAGAATGGAAGAAGCGGGAGGGATTAGTTTAGTTAAATAAAATTCATATAAGTCTTAAGCTTGTATTAAATATTTTGATTAAATAATTAGTTGGTTTTTATGTATAGTTTTTATTTTATTTATTTGTTTCACTCAACCAAATCTAAGAAATACCTTTTGACAGCTGTCAGACTTATTGGATTAGGCATGCCAACCAAAAAATCGGTACGTACAATATTCGATTCTTTAGAAAAATCGATATCAATTCTTTAAGAGTTTGTAATCATTTACAGTTTTGTTTCGATTAATACCAGAATAAATTAGAAACGGATAATTTAAAGAATTATTTGTTTCTTCGTATTTATTATTACTGCTTATATCTAGAGCCAAAATCGTATAAATTTGAAATTAGATAAAAAATAAATATATTCAGTCACTTTCACTACGGCTAGTTGAGCTGTCGTTATTTAGATTAATTAGTATTGGATTTTCAATAATGTATCAAAATTAATGTCCTTTCAAAGTAATCCATAATAGTTTTTTTTCTCCACCACTTCTGCCCAATTGTACTTTGTGACATGGGTATATGCTAAATTAAGCAAACCTTCTATTTTCTTTACAAAGCATAAGATATTTCTATTTCGTGTGTGTATAAGTCGATTGACCTCTCGGTCGAAGCTGGACTTAGCTAGTCGGACTATTTGTCCCAGGTAAACATACTCGTCAACAACTTCGAGCTTAGTGCTCCCAACAACTACCGGCATAGGTGTGACATGGACATTAAACATGATCTTTGTTTTGTCCATGTTCATCCTAAGACCTATTCGTTGGGAGACACTATTGAGGTCATTGAGCATGGTGCTTAGGTCCTCCAGCGATTCTGCCATAATGACTATATCGTCGGCAAATCGAAGGTGAGTGATGTACTCGCCATTGATGTTAATACCGTATCCTTTCCAGTCCAGAAGCTTGAAAACGTCTTCCAATGCAGCGGTGAAGGGTTTCGGGGATATAACATCACCCTGTCTTACACCTCTCTGCAATTGGATAGATTTTGTACTCTGGTTCTGTACTCGGATAGCCATCGTAGCTCTACTGTACAAATACTTTAGCACTTCGATATACCGACAGTCAACTTGGCACCGCTGAAGGGACTGCAGGACCGCCCAAATTTCGACAGAATCAAAGGCTTTCTCATAGTCCACATACGCCATAGTGGAAAATTTTACTTCTCGGACTTCTGTACAATTTGCCGAAGGGTATGTGGTTTATGGTGCTAATGCCCTTTCGGAAACCGGCTTGTTCGGGAGGCTGAAAGTCGTCAAGTCTGCGCGCGAGACGATTCGTAATGACTCTCGAAAACAGCACGTAGACGCGTCTCAGAAGGGAAATCGGTCTGTAGTTCTTCAAGAGAGCGTTGTCACCTTTCTTGAAGAACAAGACCACCGCACTTCTGCTCCACGCCTCCGGTGTAACGCCACCATGGAGGACGGAATTAAAGAGCTTCTGAAGGACTTCAAGTACCGGTCTTCCTCCCGCTTTCAGAAGCTTCGCTGTAATTCCATCCTCGCCTGGGGCCTTGCCGTTTTTAAGGTGCTGGAGAGCCATTCTAATCACGGATAAGACTCGCTCTTGAATCGTTACTCACACTTGCGTGTGGCTCCAAGGATGACGTGTACAGCTGCCCATAGTACCTCCCAATCTCACTCAAAATCTCAGGTGCCCCGGAAACGATGCTGCCACATTCGGTCTTCAGCTTTGACAGTTGGCTCTTTCTGGCAGACAGATCTCTGGCAAAGACTTTGGAGCCTTGGTTTCGCTCGATCGCTTCTTCAATACAAGCTGTATTGAAGTTGCGTAAGTCCCGCCGCATGCATTTGGAGATCTGTCTGTTCAGTTTCCTGTATGCTGTCAAATCTGTTGAAGAATGTAGCTTCATCTCCCGTCTAACAGCCATGAGATTAAGAGTGTGATCGGAGAGTTTTTGTGTTCGTCTGCGGGCGGCGGGTCTTGCAGAACTTAGCTCCGACCGCATGGACAGTTTCCACGAGCTTGTCATTCATATCGTCCACTTCATTGCAGTCTTCTAGGCACTTAATTTTGTAACTCGAGCTGAAAGGTTTCGGGACTTTGGAACAGAGCACGAGGGGGATGGAGCGTTGACTTCATTAGACGAGACCTCTCCAACTTAACGTTTAGGTTCAGTGTGCCTCTAACCATTCGGTGATCGCTACCAGTTTTCTCCCTCGCGATCACGGAGACATCACTGAACAGTTGTCGTCTGGTCGTCATAATGAAGTCAATCTCATTTTTTGTCGTACCGTCGGGGCTCGACTAGCTCCACTTCCTGTGAGGCCGCTTCTGGAAGAAAGAGATCATCAAAAAGAGTCCCTCTTTCTCCATGAAGTCGGCCAGCTGCTGGCCCCTTGGGTTCCGTTGCCCTATTCCGAAATTCCCTACTCTCAGCTCACCGTTCTCTCTTGTGCCTAGTTTTGCGTTGAAGTCTCCCATTAACACCGTATAGGTTTTGAAGGAATGTATGGCTCTAGAGATATCCTCATACATTTCCTCCACCTCCTCACCGGGGTGTGCCGAGGTTGGTGCATAAACCTGTATGATCTTCAGCGAATACCGTTTGGTGATTCTGAGTATAAGGTATGCAACCCTCGTCGACACACTCAATCTTTACAACGTTTTTAACGAGAGACTTGTGGACGGTAAATCGACACCTCCTTGGGACTGATGGTCGCCCTCCCGGTGATAGAGCATGTTGCCGGATTCGAGGATTACCGTATCCTCCCCCTCTCTTCGGACTTCGGATAGTCCTATAATATACCAGCGTAACTTGCCTATCTCTATAATTAATAGAATCAGGCGTTACTTTGCGGAAATCCATTATATAAAAGCTTTTACAAAAATTTACTTCGCAAATATCCGCGTTATAAAATAAAATGATGTGTCTTACCTAGTACGAAGAGCACCTCCCGCCCTCCCTCAATTGCGTGCACTATCCCCGTCACCACTAATCCCAGCACCGCTACTCCCAACACCACTACACTAGGCAAGACACACCTACTTAGCTTAGCGGTTAGCCACCGTAGAGTCTATATCACCTGAGGATGCCTCGTGTAGAGGCGAAACACGTGTCGTATTATCGTCAGTGGTGTGTCTTGCCTAGTGTAGTGGTGTTGGGAGTAGCGGTGCTGGGATTAGTGGTGACGGGGATAGTGCACGCAATTGAGGGAGGGCGGGAGGTGCTCTTCGTACTAGGTAAGACACATCATTTTATTTTATAACGCGGATATTTGCGAAGTAAATTTTTGTAAAAGCTTTTTTTTTGCCTGTCTCTTCTTCCAGCTCCACGATCTTCTCGTCAGTCCTCAGGGTGCATGCGTTGTATGTTGCCAGGCTGAGTCGTCTTAGGTGGCAACCGAACCTCCACCGGAGATTCTTAGCACCCCCTGCCCCGCCGTTACCATGGTCGCCACCCTAGCCAGGAATAGCGGGGCTGCCGGAGACTTGGGGCCGTTTATTATTGTCATTGCTTATGGGGGGTATATTGCCATAGTTGCCACGCTTGGCGAGCGGGTTGGCAACTGCAGTATTTTTATTCTAATTTTTGCTGTTATCAGAAAGATGGTGCTGCCCATCTCCTGCCTGTTTCCCTTTGTCGCCTTTTACGACACCCACGGGAAGATATGGGGTAGTGGATATTCTTAACCGCCACTACACGGCACGACGGATTCAACTCGACTGGGCAGCGTTCGGGAAGCTACGACACATCTTCTCGTCAGACATACCTCAAAACCTTAAAACGAAATTGTACAACCAGTGCGTGTTGCCAGTGATGACTTACGGATCTGAGACGTAGTCCTACACTGCTTGAAGTATGAGAAAGCTCAAGGTCGCTCAGCGAGCTATGGAGAGGGCTATGCTCGGGGTTTCTCTGCATGATAAACTTAGAAATGAGTATATCCGCAGTAGAACCAGAGTAACGGTCATAGCCCAACGGATTAGTAAACTGCAGTGGCAGTGGGCCGGCCATATAGCTCGAAGAACCGACAACCGATGGGGAAGAAAGGTTCTTGAATGACAGCCTCGTGCCGGTAGGCGAAGTGTTGGGCGGCCCCCCACGAGATGGAGTGACGACCTGGTAAGACATGCAGGAAGTTGATGGATGCAGGTGGCTCAGGACCGTGCTTTGTGGTATTCCTTGGGGGAGGCCTATGTTCAACAGTGGACTTATGAAAGGCTGTTAATGATGATGATGATGACGTGTGTATAAGTATAGTTAATAATATGTTTGCATTAAGAGCATTTCATATAAGAACTAGCCTTTGATTTGGGCCAAAATCAAATACAACAGACTGGCATATTATGTCAATTTTAGTTCCCGGTATGGACAATGAGAGCGATTCAAATCGGCATATTATGCTTATGCTTATTAAGCATTTTGTATGGCATAGCCAGTCCAGCGTATTTATATATATATAGAGGTCAGTGGTTAGGGGTGATTCTGAATGACAAAGTGAGAAATTGTGAGATAAGAGAAAAGTGTGATTTGCAAGATGAGGCCAGGATTAATAAAGGAATGATTTAGTTTTGGTCATTTGGAAAGAATGAGTGAGGAAAGCGTGAGAAAGCAAATTTATGTTGCTGAAGGAGAATGGTAGAGTCGGCATGGGACGCCCTGAAAAGAAGCTGGTGCACAATTACGGACCGCATTATAAGTACCTAGTAATCAGTTTCCAATGATGACAATATCCAACTTATTTCGTAATCTATGGAGGGAGCTCCGCCGTTGCCGGTCCCAAGCCCGGATGAGAAAGGAGGAGGGGACGAATCCGCCGGAGAGAGTGGGTGTATCCGGTGGACTAACACACCCACCTGCGCTAGGACCTGCGCAGTCGAGCGCCGTACGCGGGGATGAAGGAGTCCTGGAGGGTTGAGCCGATCGTCGCTGGGGTATATAGTGGCGAGAGGCAACACGCCCTCTTTGGTCCGGATTTCAAGCTAAACGGTGGCCCTATCTGCTAGCCACAGATAGGGAAATGGCCAAGCGCCCCGTCAGAGGGTCGCAGGCGAGGGATGTGGGGGCTGCCTAGTCTTCCTGAAAAGGG